GAACCTATTGCAATAAAACGGCAATTTCATACTTTAACCCCTAATATTAAAACTCGTTTCCGCTTGGTGAATAATGGGCCTTATCATATGTTACAAACAAAATTCGTCACAGTGTTTGAAGTCAACGTTAGATTTATCAATTTGTGCGTTCTATATCAGGCATAGCGAAGTAAATAAAGATCAAAACTCGATGCCTGTCATCGACTGGTTGTGGTATAAAGATAATAGTTTATGGAATAGTTGATAACGATCTCGATGGTTAGCGGTTAGCACTGCGTGCGCTAGATGAGGCATTCCCCAGGTTCGAATCTCAGTTCCAATTTGAGAAAGTAATTTTACTAAGTTAGGTTTGGTCTGGCTTTTCTGGGTAATGCCCCGGAATTAAATTAATTCCTCTGATACTCATAGCACAGGTTATTTATTGCCTACTTTGAGATCAAGTAATGTGTGATCGTGTGACATATTGAATTTTAATTATTATTAGAATATAGTGTACTTTCAAACGATCATAAGTCGTGGCCATTTTGCGGAAATTATCGAAGCCTTTGTTTTGAAATCTACACATCAGTTGGAAATGAGACTATGTTTTCGAATATGGAATCCCGTATATTTGTTTTTTCAAACAAACCAGTTCAGAATAGGCTGGTTTGCTCTAATATTAGACATAATTGGTTAATGACTAATACTATCACAGTCAGCGGTGACCATGAGACTTGAGGCTTTACTCTCGAAGCACGATATCCGTAATTACGATCGTTTTTCCACTATGATGACACGGGACTACTCTCGTCAATGAAAAGACGAACCCGTTCGAAACTGTCAAATCGCGTTATCATACATTCTTAATTCGAGTCTGTACGTAATGGAAAACCGGCCGTATGTCTGCCAGTGGCGAGGCGTGAAGGTTTCTTTGGTATTGCCGAAGCTTTAACTTTTGAAAAAAAAAAAAAAAAATACTTACTTTAACGAAAATTTCTTTTCCCGTTAAAAATGCGCCTTGGCGACATTTAAACACAACACTTATTAGCACACAAGATACTAGGTCACTTCATTTCACAGGTATGCTTGGTCTACACATAAAATAACCTTAGCTTTTATAGTAATTTTACATTTTAAGATACCCGTCGAGTTACGAAAGTTTGTAAACAAACTCATGAATGCTAAGTGTTGCTATTTTTAATTACCTACGAATTACCATGACCTTTTACATACATTAATTACGTAGTCC